TCTTAAAATGCATTTACATTTCTAAAGCTGTTGCGATAAGAAGAGAGTAGCCAGGCGGCGTCTTAATGAGAATAGAAGGAGAAGATAAATGTGCAGTTATCCTGTATGGAAGCTCACCAATAAAAAGGTTTCAGTTCTGGAAACTTCGAGTTCATGTTCCGAATTAGTTACTTTAAAGATTTTGTCTAGGTTCCGAATTAGTTACGTCATCAGAATTATTGTTGTTGCTGTCTTGTGCGAGGATTCAGTGCAGAGGAGTCAAATAAGACCGAAAGTATCCAGAACAGCCGCAGGAACATCCTCTAGTCTTCGAAGAATAGAGGAGTTGGTGCCAGGAATCTATACTGAAGAATCAGCCTTATTAAGTCATATGTATAGATTGATCTAGAAATGACGAAGTTGAGAGAAAATTTGATGCGTTGCTAGGAGAGGGACATAAAAAGAATCTAATGAGGAAATTTAAAGAGTTGCTGCTAATTAAAGTAGTAATTTGCTAGGGATATTTTTTCTTATTTTATGTTTACCATATTAGATTTATTTTCTTATTTATTTTTCTTATGAAATGTTTAAATAAATAAATAAAAATTTTTGATTAATCGTAATGTTTACTGCAAAATTTCTTTTGTAAATATTTTTAATTTATTTAATTTATTATTTAATATGGTATTACAAAAAGGAAACCTATTAAATTTTTTTTTCATAAAAGGTAAACACCTATCAGATAAAGTGGTAAAGATAAATATCATCAGGCATCTGCAAAGCTTTCAGTTGCCACTCTGCAAAGATATTTATGTTTCAAAATTATTCAAAAAACTTGGTGATATAAAAGAAGTCTTTTGTCATTCACAGTATATTTATGTATTTAATGTACGAACTCACTGTTGTAAAAGAGATATGTTACCACAGCCCGAATTAAAACATTTTTATCTTCCATGCAGCAGTGTTCTATCATTCAGCAAAGAGTACGGTGTTTAATTTTTCTTTCAAATTTAATCTGTTGTTAGTTAACAAACTAAGTAATTTAAAAGAATTTAAAAAGCAACAAACACTGATTCATTTCATTTATCATTAATTTATATCTTGACCCCTGAAATTACAACAGCTGATTTATATCCATATAAAGGAATATAATACATATAAAGCATAATGTACATATAAAAGAGAGCGTCTATTATGCATCATTGATACAAATTTACACTTTTTTACAGATCTCGATGAAATGTTGCACACTTGAATCTTTACAACAAAAGGAAGGTCACAGTTTTTATAAGATTTTATAAAACTATCCCGCAGAGTCCATACTCAGAGTGTTTATATTAAATCATCGCATCCACAGCATCCATTTTAGGTTCACGTTCCCTTGTTATGTTCCTCAATTAGAGCAAGTCATGCATAGTCATAAACAAAAAATCCTTTTTTATTCATTTTTTAAGATCAATAAATACTAATTCTATACTAATACAGAGACACACATAGAGACATTTAATACTGACATAGAGACACGTAGTTTAAATAGTATGAAATAAATATTGTAATTGTTCTGATGTAGTAACATGTTTCTCAGTTGCTTTCCAGTAAATATTTAACCCTTCTTCGAGAGCCGACTCTACAGACGGTACAGCATCGGCAAGCAGAAAGAGAGAAAATCAGTCTAAACTTCGTAATTAACGGACAGTTAATTAGCCAGAGAGGCAAAATATGCTTTGCACAATTTTCCCCATATTATACGTAAGAAATAATGTATTCTCTTTTTTGCCATAGATATATTTCAGTATTCAGTTTTTCTATAGTCTTATATAAGATAATATATTTGATAACATCAGAAGTCCTACTTTTAATATTCTACATACACGCGCCTGGAGTGTTTTATTAGCCTAGAGCTTGGAACAGATACAAATATTTGTGGCCAAGGGTATCCGCTGGGTATCAAATTACCAGACGAGCACTTTCCCTCGATTAAGTATAAAGTGATCATCAAGGCCATAGAGCCCGAGCCTCGCATTTCGCACCAGGAAGCTGTGGGCAATAAAACCCGGAATCTGTCATCGTTTAGGGACGGCAGCTCAGGCGGTTTTGATTGATTGCTCAATCAACTCTCTTCATTCAAAAGCTACCGAAAATTTATTGCTCTTACTATGCGATTATACAGTAGCGTTTTATAACGACTCCAGGGATATAGATTAACACAGTATGATATTGGCTTATAACGCTAGCTAACAGCGACTTTTGCTGCGTTAAGATCTGCTGTAAAAAATCGAAACAATATTTATTGAAGCGGCATTCCTGTAAACCTGCTCTACGCAGTGCTCCTAAAAGAATTCGCTATATATGAGATATTATCTGGTGTTACATACTTTCAGGTACTATAGAATATAAACAGATATAGGGACTACTACGATAAAAATCACTGATTGATTGAAAATTTATTGCTCTTACTATGCGATTATACAGTAGCGTTTTATAACGACTCCAGGGATATAGATTAACACAGTATGATATTGGCTTATAATGCTAGCTAACAGCGACTTTTGCTGCGTTAAGATCTGCTGTAAAAAATCGAAACAATATTTATTGAAGCGGCATTCCTGTAAACCTGCTCTACGCAGTGCTCCTAAAAGAATTCGCTATATATGAGATATTATCTGGTGTTACATACTTTCAGGTACTATAGAATATAAACAGATATAGGGACTACTGCGATAAAAATCCTTTAGGATATTAAAAAAATTCGAATAATTATGTTTGATGTTAGAAAAGTCTTTCCAAAATATCTGGACTGTTACGGTACTGGACTGTCTGGACTCTTTGACGACTGTTACGACTATTTATCATCCATATAATTTTACAACTATTTTGTGTGAAACTTCAATTTATAAGTTTTTTTTCAGTAATTTTCGAAATGGTATTTAGAAAAATCCGATAAATCTAAATGGTTCGATGTATAAAACCTCCATAGCGGAGTCCTTCCAAAACTTTTGCGCAAATACTTTCGTTACGCTATGTTGTGTCACGTTACCGGGCATTCCAGCCATTTATTCCAGCCTCTTTGGCAAGTTTTGCCTTTCAATGAAACAGAAGGTCTATTTCTTAGCACATAGTCAGTTCGTATAATGTTGCCTTTCTGCGAAGCAGAATTTATATTCAGATTTAATCAATCTATAATTGCAAAAAAAAAATATTTGCAGATTGATAGATTTAAACGCACTTCTTAATAATTTGAATCTGTGTTTTCCAACTGGAAAGAAAAACACGTCAATGTAAAATTTAAAATTATGCAAAAGAGTAACTTTTAAACGGCGCATATTTTGAAAACAACGCTATCAATTTCAAGAATGATCTCACATAAATATTTCATTTTCAGAAGCTAAAAGAAATTGCTCAATTCTGATTTTCAGTAATATGTTAAACCCATGAAAATTAAAATGAATTTAGTTTACAATACATTTAAATGGGAATTTTTATGAGCATTTGCAGTTTTATTGCAGTTAATGGGAGTCTAATGTCTTATATTTATGCATTTGATATTAATTTTTTTAGTTATTTAATAAAGAAGGTACTTCTTTCTAACATCTACTCTGTTAGCTGCTTTTTGCAGTTTCAAAGAGGCTCTTAATTGAGACTTGTTAATGATTTATGATCCTTTTTTAAAGACTTTGCAGTTTTGGGAGTATTCCTAGATCATTTCGAAAATTTTTACTTTCGAAGTGATCTAAGAATGCTGCCAAAACTTTGACACCTCTCTTCATTATCATATCTTAGTTCACTATGCTCATTTGGGGGCTTCATGATCTTCTTTCAGTCAGTCTTTCCTAAACTCAGAAAGAGAAAAATAGGTAGGCTCAATCTGAAGAAGTAAACACTAAAATGATAAAGCAACAATAAAAATTATATTTAATGGTTTCGGAAGACTGAATAGATGTTTATTGGGTTAGAAATGGTCTTCCATGGGGAATAGTCGTAACATTAGCTTACGCTGGCATTTATCAACTATGTGACCTAGCAGGTGTTACTTTTGCCTGAGACATGAGATTTCCAAATTATCTTCCACGTGACATGACAGATAGCTATTTTTCATTGTCTTTCACCGCAATATAATATCATTAATTTATACTTCTGGAGTTTTATTACAGCTTAACAACAAATTGAACAATTTCAAAGCAATAAACGTGTAATTTATCATTTATCTTTATCTATTTTAATATAAAATTTTTTAATATAAAATTCATAATTAAATTATCATTTATCTTTATTTATTTGTATATATATTTATTTTTAATTTTTACACTTATTTTTATTTATTTTTTCCAATAAAATTTTTTTTTAATTTATTCTATTTAAAATACATTTAATTTGTATAACATAACCAACTAAAAATACGAATATTTGTAGTGGCATTTTATTTAGTAAAAGTATGTTTTTAATTCCAGGTATATAAAGTTAACTCACTTTAACAATTATGAATATCTGGAGATTTGTAAGATATAACTAATAAAGAATATATATTTTTTTACATCGTGGTAAGTAACTAGTGTAGAATAATTCTTTTCCTTAATTTTTGAGATTTTTGTCTTTTTTTTAACTGTTTTAGCATTTTTAAAATTAAAAAAAAGTTAGTAGCATACCATTTTTTTTCAGATTTTAATATGAAAGTTTCAACTGGCAATTTTTCATCAAGTTTTATAATAGAAAATGGTTTACATAATAAGAATTTGGAATTGTTTTTCTTTGGGGGAGATTTTTCTTGTCATGGAACCACACTTTTTAAAAGATAATTTGTAGGACAATTAGTAATAGATAATATGTACATAAGTATTTAATTTTTGTGTGCTTTCGTTAAAGACGTCAAGTGAGAAAAAGTGAAATCCTATCTTATTTGACACATATCCTTAAAGTAGAACAATGTTTCTTTAAGCAGTGTTTTATGGCAGATTTAATCCTATAAAAAAACTCTCTGCATACTGAATTTAAGTTCGTATCTAATTTGTTTATATCTTTTTCAGTGGCCGTGGTGATCGCTTTCTTCCTCTGTTGGGCTCCATTTCATGCACAACGTTTAATGGCAATCTACGTGACCGAACCAACAGACGCAGACTTCATCGCTTTCAGTATCCTCACCAACATTTCCGGAGTGTGTTACTACATCAGCGCAACCATTAATCCCATCCTCTACAGTATCATGTCTCTGAAGTTCAGGCACGCCTTCCGTGACACCCTGGCTCGCTGTCTCGGTAGAGGTCGGGGCATGAGGCACCGAGATAGAAACCGCACAATGAGTCTTTTTAACAGCACGGTGAGATCAGCTGGTTATGAATTTACCGATTTGACCATTGTTTCCGAAGTTGGACATCCCACGCAAGACCACATTCAAAGTCAGAATGGTAGCCATTCCTCCTTGAGAAAATCATCCCGTCTTCAACAGCTGGCAATTGGAAACAGCATTGAGCTAAAGCAACTACAAAACGCCATGGACAATGGTAAGAATCAAATACAGAAGAAAATGAGTACCAGCAGTAATGTACCCCTCAAAATAAATGAAGCTTTCGACGTTTCGAGCATTTGCGATTATATTGATCAAAATAAAGATGTGCATGGGTAAAAAAGAGTTGGAGTTACATATCTCCAAAACACTCTCTTCGCGAACAAATTTTGTGATGTGCTTTCAGTGGCATGCAGCTTTGTCGTTTTTTTAATAACATTTGGTCAGCGTCATTTTTAAATTTCTGCAGCTAATGTAGTCAAGATTACAGAATATTATTTGTTTACAATCGTAATTATATTTTATTTATTTATTTATTATTGTTTTGAAACATTTCTTCAGAATTCTTAGCAGCGATATATTTTCGCAGAACACGTTTTCATTAGTTTATTGCAGTATTTTAGCATTTAATGATTTAGACTGCCCATTAATTTAGATATACTTTTGAAAGGTATTTAATTATTACAGTCAATGACATGGGTATTAAATCTCGGTAAAATATGAGCTTTATAAAGAATGTTGAATAAACAAGATGATAGTAAGCGTGCCACAATAGCTGTCTCATGAAAATAAGATAGATTAAAGATGAAGTTCTTGCTCTGTATCCAAAAACTAATGAAATGTAAATTCATATTTGCAGACTTTTGTTTTATTATGTTTATTGTAATGTAACAGGGAATATTGAGAAAATATAACAAGGATATTAAAATATGAAGTTCGTAAAGCTAACCGTTTAGAGTTGCTCCGTATAAAAAAAAAATTGATCATCATGAAATTTAACTTGACCTTCAGTAACCCAGTAAAAAAACAAAATTAAATAGCTAAATAGCATCAAAGATATATTCCTGTTTAAATATGCATGCTGTGTAATTTAAATTTTAAATATTTATGTATTTTTAAGTGTGCGTTATATAAATATGTGTTTCTTAATATCAGATAATATTTTTGTTTGTAATATAGTTGAAAATATAATTAAAATCCACAATCGTTTGAAGTATTTTTCTAGTAGGAAACCACAGCAGTTCTGCTCAGAGAATTTTCCATTCTATGTTTCATATCATAACCAGAAGGAATACCAAAAGTTGTAAAAGGAATCTTCTGAAATATATACATTTCAATGAGCATTACAAAATTAAAGTAATATTAAAAATAATCCTTAATCAGCTTTTTATCCTAAAGAGGCTAAGCGTAGCTTTGAACGCAGTACTTCAAATTTGATTCTAAACTTTCGGTTCTTATTATCTTTGACTACCTCATATATGTTAAAGTTAATACTACTAAATGAATATTATAGAATACGCTTTTTATTTCTACGTGTATAAAACAGAGATTTTAGATAAAATGTCACATATGCGAATTTAAGGTTTTGCTTAATTTACCTGAAGCGTTTCATAAATAAAGCGAGGAAAATTATCTGGTGCAGAACAAGGTTTCATTTCCTAACACAATTTTATTAATGCATTTTGTTAAGAAAATTTCGTTTAATAAGAAAAAAAATGAGAATTTCATCGAAAAAGAGTAATGCCAGATTTCTATTTAATTTTTGCATAAGAAGACAGCCTCCAAAATCAAGAACTATATCTAACAGCAGCTATTATAATAATATGTGTTTGTTTCCGAACATTAAGCAAATTAGAATTGATAATTGGTGATACTTAAATACTAGTCACGCAAAATTGATAGTCACGTAAAAAAAAACGGATGAACTCCAAACTGCATATACCATATAGAATAAAAAATACCAACAATTGAGCTCCCATTGAGCTCTTCAACTATCATCATAGGGAAAACTTATCCGATGTCATAATAAGAAATAATTTTCCACTCTTTTGCCTTCGAGGCAAGCGTCCAACTATTAAAAAAATTTCCACCCAGAAAAATTCCACATTTCATTATTATTACTTTATCATTTTTGGTAATGTGTTTCAAAGATTCAGTCATTCATTGTAGAAAACTGCAAGATCTGTTTAATAAAGGTTTTTATTTAGGTAATATTTTTTCTTTCTCTAAATCGTAATTAAACAGCGTGGCACAAAGAAAAAATACCCATTTGAATGGGTGTTGAGTTTTTTAATTTCATAATTAAAACACTGAATACCCTGATTAGACAATTAATTATACCATTTTATTTTCTATTTTTGGAAGGCATTTTCATTCGTTAACTGGCACATAAAAGTATTTTTGACAGACGTTCTAAAGATTTTACCTTTTAATTTAAAAAATGCAAGTTGGCCATTTATTACAATGTGATTTATAGTTTCCAGAAAGAAATGTAAATAAGCAAATTGCAGTATTTTATCATTGAACTTTTTTAACTTCGAACCATACCATTTCTAAAAACATAATACCTGCTACAAACCTTTCCTATTATTTCCTCAATTTTAGTGAAATTAAGTAATCAAAATCTGCAAAAATTAATACCAATGATATAGCATGCCAGTGATTTCTTAAAAATTACTTTTTATTTATTTGTTTCTTTACAAGTATGAAATGAAAGGAAATTAATAATTTTAATAATCAAAATATGCATTATAATATGAATGAATTATTATTAAATAATTATTACTAATAATTATTATTTGGCAAAAAATTTTTAATCTAAATTAATTCACAGTAAGAGCTTACAATTAAAAATATGATAATCAAAAACGTCAAACAGCTTTACAGTAACTTTTGACGAAAAATAAAACAAAGAACTGTGGCAAGTCTTCTGGAGAATTTTTACTATAAACATTCTTCCTGAGTAACAGCCAAAAATATAGTTCAAGTTCTAGTTTGACTTGCATTACTAATTCATCTTTAGACGATGTTACAGAAAAGACTTGAAAGATTTATTGCTTCTGAAAATTTGAGAAATGACAGTATGTTTCAGAAAACTTGTGTTGTTTATATCTAAAAAGTGTTTTTGTTCTTCATATCTGTTCTGCAGAAGATACTTAAAATGACGTTGTCTCTGTCAAGCCATTATATTACATGTTGTCTTTTGTGTAACTTTTTTCTTGTATGAAATTGCACGAATACTATTTCCCACCAACACTTCATATATACATATATCTATATAAATATATATTTACTTGATGTTGCATGGAAATAAAATGTATTTTTCGTCTGCAATTAGTATGTGTTTTTAAATCATATAAAGGAATGATTGTTTTTTTGACAAATGGATCAAGAGGAGAAGATTCAAATTTTTCATATTTTATTAACATATACATAAATTGTCTTAACTTCCACGGTACAGTGTTAATGAAAACTTGTTCTTTAACTAAGGAAATATCCATTTCTAAAATCTGGGAAGCATAATTCTTAAGTGCACATCGGTATCGCAACGGAGAGATTGGCTTCTAATGCGCTTGTGACACTGAATCTTTGAAAGCTCATGTTTTCATTTTATTTCGCACCTGTTCTGCAGTATCCAGGCATGTTTTTGAATTCCTTTCAAGTTCTTTCAACTAGATAGTAAAATATTCACAATTACATTTATTTGATCTAATTTCGTATTATCAAGTGTGCTGAGCCTTAGGTTTTATCGATGGAGGAACATAAAAAGTGTGCCGTTGATGAAATTCGGACTCCCGGCTTCCCGAATACGCGTCGAGCATACTTCCAGTTACACTACGTAAGCATGCGGAGGAAGAAAATACAACATAATCTCTGGTTGTACAATTCGTGAAAAATTAGGGAGGAAACATACAAACTCCATTTGAATTGAAAGCAACCATAAAACTCCATATTTCTGCAGGTTCTCAAGAAACATTTTCCGCTGTTCAACATACCATAATGACCATGTGCTTTTTTCATATGATCGACACAAAAGGGTTGCACATTGAACAAATGCCTGACTAAAGAAATTTTTGTGTTTCTTTTGTATATGCACCACTTTTGCATCTGGTCGAAGACTAAACTAATACTTTTTATTGAACTTCCGTTTCCTTGTGTCCACATAACTTGTATTATAAGATACAACAAAGCGCGTCAACTCAAATGGTCTTTACATAGTAGTGTCACTTTAATTATCACTGCGCTTTACAGTTTGATTCTTTGACGCACATATTTATCTATATGCCGGTTACCACAAGCTGTATAATAATTCTCTACGTATGAAAATGTAGAAGAATAACATGGAGGCTCTCTGCTTTTTGAAAAAAAAAACTCACCTGTCTAACACTTTTGTTTCTTACAGAAGTTTTTCAAACACCTAAATTAATTATTTTACATTTAAACTTTATGTGGAAGATGGGCAAGAGATTCGGATAATCCGGCTTTGAGTACCTGCAGTCTGGATTATTTGAGCTCTGTTTTATATAAATATCCGAGAAATGTAACGTATTTATTACTACAATCTACACTCATGTCCATAAATTAAGAATAATTCGGAGTCACGCGGAAATCGAACTCTAAAATAAATATATCACCTGTAAAATCACTACACACATCTTCAAGAATGATATGCAAATTTCAGGAAGTAACCAGATGACACCGATGGTACGTCACAATGACGAGAGTGTAAGAGAGTGATATATAAGGAATACAGGCAAAGAAGTAAAATTGTTCGCAGGCGGTTTATAAGCATTTCAGTGCAATAACCGAATAGTTATGACACAAAGGACGCATTTGGATGATTTTTTACGTGGTAGAATTATCAGCCGTCTGGAATGTGGGCGTACCCAATTGGAAGTATCAGAAGAACTTGGAATTGCCCAGAGTGTCATCTCCAAGCTTTGGCAACGATTCCTAGATGATGGTAATGTCTCGTCAGCTCTCTTCAGCCACTGGTACGACAATTTCAAGGCAGACCGTCTACAGACGCTTAGGGCAGATTGGTCTATATGCTCGGAAACCTGTCAGATGCGTTCCACTTACTTCAACTCACTGTCGCCTGCGGTTAGCCTGCAGTAGAGAGCATGCATTGAGGACACCGCAACAGTGGGCTTGTGTGATGTTTTCCGACGAGTCAAGGTTTAGCTTGCAGTCTGATTCTCGCCGGACTTTCATATGGAGAACTCCAGATACCCGTTACCAAGAAAACATCACTGAACGACACCGTTACGGTGGTGCACGCGTGCTCGTTTGGGGTGGAATTATTCTGGGCTCCAGAACTGACCTGCATGTTCAAATTGGAACCATGACAAGCCAAATCTATCGAGACGTCATTCTGGAACAACATGTTTGTTTGTTTCGGGGAGCCAGGGGCGCACAATTTGTGTTTATGGATGACAACGCCCGTCCTCACCGTGCAAACATCGTAAGCGAATGCCTACAATCGGAGGATACCACCCGTATGGACTGGCCAGCATTCTCACCGGACTTAATCCAGTAGAGCACATGTGGGACATGCTTGGCTGACGAGTTGCAGCCCATCAACCTCCTCCTACATGTCTACCGGAACTTCGGAGAGCATTGCTTTTTGAGTGGTGTAATAACCCCCAAGATCAGATCGATAATTTGATACTCAGCATACCTAGGCGTTGTATGGACTGTATTGCATCGTCCGAGAGACATACAATGTATTAACAATCATACCAACCATGTAATATAGTTTTTTTGTAAATAGGTTTTTTTTTTTTTTTTTTTTTTTTTTTTTTTTTTTTTTTTTTTTTTTTTTTTTTTCAATTTGCTCCAGGAAGAAAAAATCGCTAATTTTTTTAATAATTATCAAACATATAACATCTTTTTTTGCTCTTTACCTTTTTTTAATAAATAAGCTTTACAAATAAGTCAAATTTGTTTTGCTTCTAACTCTTCCTTTGCCTGATTTTGCATTATCCTTAATTTATGGACATGGGTGTATCATATTGTCAGTAGGTTATTTTGAAGCAAGAGACATGAAAAATAAGCAATGTCCTCGCCGGCACTCGAACCTGGACCTCTCGAATTCTCGCCGAGTGTACAACCGTTACACCACAAAGGCATACAGAAAGAATGAAGAAAATATTTATATGTTCCTTTTTTTAAAGGGCGACAGGGGATTAGGGAACCCAATCGTCAAATGCTGGTGGTGAAGAATCATTATTCACCACCTTTTTTAGCTCAGGTGCCACTGTAGAGTCATTAGGTTATTTTGAAGCAGGAGGCATAAAAAATAAACAATGCCCTCGTCGGAGCACCAACATGGATCTCTATAATACGCGCCGTACACCATGAATGTATACAGAAAGGAGAGAGACAATATCTTATAACATGATTAAAAGTAACCTTTCGAGAGGTGGAAAAGAAAAAGGTCATACTCAGCCACCTAAAAGATACGTATGCAGGCTTGTAACCATACCTCAATTTCTTGAAACCTTATAAGCAGTTATGAGTCACTAAAATCAATATTTGAAATTTTAATAACATCTTAAATTTAAAATGAAGTTCAGATTTAATATAAGAATGCACTGCAGTAACACCTATGATATATGTACTCAAATTTATTAAAAGCTACATGCCATTAATTGAGAACATTCCATTGTCTTGGTCTACATCGAAGACAAAGACATGGTATCTCATATATTTCTTAATTGTTGAACAGCTTAGTGACCTTAAATATGTCAGCATTTAGTAATGCATATAACAGTTAGTTATTCGCATTTGAAAACACAGCATAACCCAATACTTTCAGAATAAATATAAGTTAACGAACAGATTCAGCTGAATAACTTGCTGGAAATTATAAGATTTCATTACTAATAACTAATCCTGTCACCTTAGACACATTTCATTAAAATTCAACTGATTAATGTATTTTTATGCTTTATTTCTAGACAGCATTTCTTACTTTATATGCAAAATACCTATATTGAATCTCTAAACCTTAGAAACACATTTTAAGTAATACTTAGGTTACAACAAGTAACCTAAATATTACTTAAATTATTCATATTATTACTTATATTATTCAAATTATTTCAGTTTAATTGTAAATTAAACTGAATATGTAAAAGAAGAAAACTCAGTTCCACGAACATTTAAACTAGCTATAAGTCTAATTGCAAGTAAGAATTATTTAAAAACTAAATAGTTATATTATTTCATCAGAATTCTCTATTATTTCGCTAATCTTTCCCTCCGAAGGCTGTGTTCTGACGTTACGATCACGGAAAACCTTTCCCTGAACAACGAAATAACTATCCAAAATGTTCCGTCAACTAAAGAGAAGCTTTTGAAATATAACTATGTATTTTGGTATATTTGATACAGATTTCATTTGGATTCCCTTCCATCACTCTCTCATCCCTTTTTACTTTCTTTAAATTCTTTACTTTTGACATATTCAAAGTTTTAGTGTTTAAAATTTAATTTTGCTAAATCAGAACAGACTTGCATATGCAGCTGTTAGTGTTTCAGTTCCATTAACCTGCTGTGCACTTGGCTAATGCATTTTTAACATCTGTTTATCTCCAGTTTGCATTGTTTATATTCTGCTCAATACAACATTTCAAGCATAGAGCCTGAGTCAATTCTGGTACAGAATCGTCTAGTAAATTGTAAGCTTTAATAATTTTTCTATTTAATTTTCATTTCAGTGTATCTGAGTTCCAAAGACAACATATATTTACTTTGCAACTCTCATTCTTCTACAATCTAGTTAACAGAGTCACTATTAACTTATTTATTGGTATCGCTTCTGTTTACGAGTAAAACGTTATATCGATTTCTAAGAATCAAATTAAACTAAATTCGAACATCCCGATTCTGAATTGCATTACAGCGAAACTTATTTTATGCATGCAAAGAGAGAGGAATAATTTGAGTTCACATTTTGTCCTGATAATCAACAGGAATTATGTCCGGTAGTTAAAAACAGAAATTAATATGTAAAACTTTGTTAAGCGAACTGATTTTTATGAGCGAGGGGTCCGTGGAGATCTCTTCAACAACTACGCTAGATGAACAGAAAGAAATGAACACGTTATTCAAATAAATAACAATAAAAGGAACAGCTGTAACTGCCTTAAGAAAAACGTAGTGATAAGGAAAATTGTTTTAAACGTAGATCGAAACATCGCAGATCACTCTCAAAATAAACCCTGAAACACAGTTCTGAATTCAGAATTCACTAATTTAACTCTTTGAATCAAATTATGTGTCTGAAGTAACTGATTCATTGGTTAACAAAGATGTGTTCATGTAAA